TCTGCATCTCGAATGAATGAAAATATTTTAAAGACATGTGAAATCTGTACTGTACTAGTACTGCTACAGTGCGACGGACTAATGGGAGGATGCCTATATAATATGGGGGAACATTAAACCATACCGCCATATAATTATTCCGTGTGTGTCGTAAGAGGCGACAGAGGGAAACATGTCAGGAGATGGGCAGTAGCATCCTCCTAATAACGATTAAAATTAAAAAGTACTGCGGTTGCCAAACCGTTTGGGTTGCGTGGCAACTATTGCAAATATCACCCGTATGAGATAACCTACGGGAGAGGCCTGTTCAGTAGTGGAATTCAATAGGCTGTAACAGTTATAGAGTCGATACTATTGCGTTATCGACTCTGTTTATGTCTCCATTCACGAGTCTGTGAAATGTGAGTTTAACGTTTTTGGATAGAATTTCCGCAGATTGTTTTTACATCAATGTTAAAACCTTTACAAATCCGATTGCTTATCACTGTCGTACCTCGTACATACGGGATATATTCAAACATAAATGTAACGAAACATTTATGTTCAAATCCTTTGTAGCGAAACATTTACTCGTATGTTTTTCTCTTCAAAATTAGCCCTGTTCACATCAGGAATTTCTTTTGTGTGGCGGAGAAGTTTTACACACTTAATTGCATATGTTCCGGATCTCTATAATGTTCCGAGTCACCAACCAAACAGTTAGGACAGTAGTACCTACTAAACTGCTATTTTTTTAATTAACCTTTTTAGGATTAAACAATCTCTTGTTAAGTAAAAGTAAAAGCAGTTTTCGTGTCTTGGAACTAATTCATGTTTGTGGTAGAGTCAAGCAGCAACTATATTATCAGCAAATGACTGAAAATCTACCTAAGAACGTTACATCCAAATCCCATGAACCGGTAACAGTGAGTTACATTTACTAGTGTTAGGGTATATGTATCGACTATGCGTTCAACAATCCACCTGGCATGCCAAATAATGCATGCCAGCTAGTGCATTCTAATCAAGGCCCATTTCCAGCCGTGGACGTAAAAAACTGTTGACTGTCCACCTTCTATTCATATACAACAAAGTCTACTCTACCAAACAGCTATAAACAAATCGGCTCCCTAAACTGATCCCAATTTAATCAAATTTTCGGCCACATATTGTAAGCAATTGGTCTAAATGACAGCGTGGGTGGGTATTTCAGTCATAGATTTCCTTATTAAATCATTGATCAATTACTACTCTAGCAATGTTCGTAAGAAAGAATAAACAACTCTATTATGTTACGTAATCAGCTAAGTTGAAACTAGTTTTTGTAGTTGTATGTAGGTAATTCTTTTATTTTTTTTAAAAAATAATCTAGCTAATAACATACTCACCATGAAGCTAATAGTATACTCACCGTAAAGATAATAGTATACTCACCGTACAGCTAATCGTATACTCACCGTAAAAGTAATAATATACTCCCCGTAAAGCTAATAATATACTCACCGTAAAGCTAACAATGTACTCACACTGTAAAGCTAATAGTATACTCAACGCAAAGCTAATAGTATACTCACTGTAAAATTAATAGTATACTCACCGTAAAGCTAATATAAACTCACCGTAAAACTAATAACATACCCACCATAAAGCTAATAATATACTCACCGTAAAGCTTATAATATACTCACCGTAAAGCTAATAGTATACCTACCATAAAACTAATAATATACTTACAGTAAAGCTAATAATATACACACCGTAAAGCTAATTGTATACTTACTGTAAATCTAATAGTATACTCACCGTAAAGCTGTGTGTAATAAATTTATGAAAATTGTGCGACCAATGTAAAATGTCTGTGGAAAATTGACAATATATTCCCGCTGGGTGTGTAAAATCCAGCGAAAACTAAATAAAAAAATATATATACTCACCGTAAAGTTAATAATATACTCATCTTAAAGCTAATAATATACTCACCGTAAAGCTAATAGTATACTTACCATAAAGCTAATAATATACTTAATGTAAAGCTAATAATATACTCACCGTAAAGCTAATAATATACTCACCGTAAAGCTTATAATATACTCACCGTAAAGCTAGTAATATACTCACCGTAAAGCTAATAATAAACCGTAAAGCTAATATAATGTCGAGGAAAAAGTTTCTTCATAATATTTTGTATACAAATTTAAAACATTTTTTTTTTCAAAGTTTAATTACATTTAATTATAATATACTATTATATAATATACTATAATATGTGCCATTTCGTTCGCTAACTTGTTGCCATCTTGTAGGTAGTGATATAATCCCGTTGCTGTAGAAATCTTGGGATTTTTGATCAAAAAATTGCAACAAATAAACAGTCCTTTCTTGATGTTAACCTAACACTACCAAAAGAATTCTAAAAGGACCGAAACAGGTGAAAATCTGAGGGTGCAAAGTCTGTACTATATGGTGAATGCATTAATTAACACTTCCCAATCAAGCTCTCTCAATTTTTGCTGAGTGGCTAAATATGCGTGTGCTCTAGCGTTATCATGTTGAAAGACCACTCCTTTTCTGTTGATAAATTCCGGCTGTTTTTTCTCAATTTCTTGCTTGAGTCTCATTAGTTGTTGGCAGTAGAGATTCGAGTCAATGGTTTTGCCATGCGGTCAAAGCTCATAACAAACGATGCCCTTCCAATACATTCATACACACAACATCACCTTATTGCGTGTTAATCCGGGTTTCGCTACAGGAGCTTGACTACCCTATGACCATGATCTTCTTCGCACGTTCTTGTCGTAGGTGATCCACTTTTCATCATCAGTGATCAATCTTTTCAAAAATTATTCGGTTTCATTACTTTCAATAGAGAATCGCAAATGAGTACACGATTCATTAGGTTTCTTTCAGTGTGCTCGTGTGGTACCCAAATATCGAGCTTTTTTGTATAGCCAGATTTTTTGAAATGGCTCAAAACTGTTTTGTAGTCAATCTTCAGTTCCCCGGCTATCTCATAACTACTAATATGCTGATTTTGTTCCACTTTTTCAAAAATGACATTTTATCCGTATGAGGGCCGACCAGAGCGAGTTACATCTTTGAGGTCAAAATTCCCGGACTGTAAACGCTTGAACCAACTTTGTGCTACTCTTACTGTTTACTAACACTGCATTAGATCCATAAACGTGACAATTTTTTTTCACGGGATAATTTCACTTTTTTAGTATAAAACTTCAGAATGTATCGAATTTCTTCGTTAGATACACTCATTTTTGCGGACAGAAAAACAATTGAAAAATGGCGGGAGTGTTTTTACTTTTTATTTTCGTTTTTATTAATGGCTGATATGTATTGATATTAAAACCAGCTAAAGAGATTTTTCCTCAACTTTATACAAACTAAATACCTACCTTACCGTAATACTAATTGTATACTTACCGTAAAGCTAATAATGTTAGCTCTCTTCAACTACCTCCTTGGTGTAGTGGTCGTAAGAACGACTGCTGATCATGGTATCACAGGTTTATATACTGGGTCGAGCCGAAATCAGTTAAGTATTAAGTGTTTTTGTCAAGATATTCTCAGTAGCATCCCGTAGTCAGGAAGTTGGCGGTGTTTTACCCCAGTGTCTCTGAAAGCATCTATTCTCACATTAAGCTCTTTAATCGCAAAGAATTTAGATAATGGCAAAAAGTGTATTACAGTATTTTAGACCTGAGAAAGGCTTTTGAAACGGTCCCTATTCCTGATCTTTTAAAGTTTTAGGAGCTTATCGGCTTTAGATATACTTCGCTAAACCTGATTCAGCTACCTACATGAGCGCACTCAGCGTGTTCATGTGGACGCTGTGTTGAGTGACGAAGAAAATGTTATTTTCGGCGTCCCTCAGGGTAGCGTTTTAGGGCCTACGCTGTTTTTGGTCTATATTAATGAGCTGTGCAAACTTTCTATTCCTCGCGGTCACATTTTCTCCTATGCTGACGATACAGCTATTACTTTTTCAGGAGACACTTGAGAAATGTTAGAAAAATCTCATAGGTTTCGGGCGGCTATGGGAAATGTCAGAAAATTCTCATGGGTTTCGAATGTGGACGCATTGATCATTTCGTTTACAGCGGATGTAAAATACTCAAACTGATAGAGTGATAATAACAATGAGATATTTGGCATTTTTAAGGCATTAATGCGTTCTCTCCAAACGCGGGAGGCCGATACATAGTTGTGGACTTTCGCGTACTGATAAAGATATTTTAATTACTAATGAAAAACGCTTTAGCTGTTCGTCTCTAGGACTACAAAAACATTTTTCAGGCTCAGAATAGTTACTACATGAGCACGTGATGACGCGTGAGGATGAGTCAGCGCAATTATATCACGCTTACAGGTGGACTGACGTTTGCAATACCAATTCCCTCGCACGCTGCCGTCATCCCGTCGTCATATTTATTGTTTTTTTTCTGCTATCAAATGTATTCCATTAGTCACATTCTTAATTTGAAAATGGCGATATAGGCTAATTAATGTCATTGTAGAGACGGAGTAAGAATATCCACTATCCCACCCCATATCACCCTACTCCAAAAGGCAAAAGAAGGAAACTGAAGCAGGCGAAGGATAGCAATATCATCCTAATGACAACTGAAAATGATAAACTTCAGTTATAAACCCGCCTGCCAATCGTGCCAACTATGGCAAAATCTTCCCAATTAGGCAATCTATGGGGGAGGCGTACGTTCGGCAGTGGACTTGTAAGAATGAAAGTTTGAATGAATACCCCTACTCACATCATATTTTTCACAATTTTTGAGATATTTTGTTTTTGCAACTGATAATATTTTATTTTGCTGAAGTTTGAAAAGACGAATATGCCACAAGTCCGGTCCCCCACTTAATTAAGGAGTTATTAAAGAAATGTCAACTAAAAGAAGTAATAAAAATATTGTTTGTATAAACATAAATATCTTTTTAAAAGTTAAAAAATAAAACAACTTGTTCACGTTATATATGTTTTTATTCTATTTTTTCTATACTGGGTATTTCCATTTTCCTAAAGGTACGTCGTTGTGATAAAAGTTGCACTCGAGTTTGTTAACACATGCCTTCCCATATCTGCACGGCTTTGGATGATAGAAGTGGCAGGCGGGGTTCACGCAGTTCGGGTAGAACTTGCACAAGTTAGCCAAGTTTCCCGCTGAGATCGACTTATAGTTTGCTGCGGGGACCACGTGAGAAGCTGTAAAGAAGAAAATTCAGGTTACATAAACGATTTCCTCGAAAGAAGGGTAATGTGTTACGATTGTATGTATATATAGTAGAGGATCCGACTTAAGAAAATACCCCCTCATTCTTTTCCTTGATGAAATAATTTTTTATTAATAATTTAATTTAATTAATTAATTAGTTTTTAATTAAAAATAGCCTTGTCAAAACATAGGCTGTCAATCACCCCGATTTGTATTTATTTGTATATTTTATTATAAAAAAAATTATTTCATCAAGGAAAAGAATGAGGGGGTATTTTCTTAAGTCGGATCCTCTACTATATATACATACAATCGTAACACTGTAATTTCTTAAGCCGGATCTTAGACTAATAATATTAGTATCTTTGTCGTGAAACGTAAATGGATTCATGATATTTCAGTGTGAGGTTTCTTAAATTCCTCTACATTACCGGAGTTTTTATATTATTTATAATAATTGATAATCTTTATACCTGAAGTAATTAGACTTGCATAATTTCAATAAATTATGCAGGTCTAATTACTTCACGTCATTGGACTACAAGTAAAAAACTTCAAGAAAACACAACAAGAACCTCTTTAGTTTAAGTTAGTGTTATTTGGAAAAACATTTTCATGTACGTATGGCAGTGCACAAATGTAATGTCTTGCAAACATTGCTCTCAGTGAAATAACTGGGTAACAAGAGTAAGGTAGGTACGCTATTCTTTTACATCAAGAGTTTCAACTTTTTTTTTTATAGGATCAGGGTGACAAACGGGCTTACAGTCCACCTGATGGTAAGTGGTTGCTGTGGCTTACAGGCATCTACATCTATTCTCGATTACGAATCAAAATGCAGATGTGTTGTCACCCGTGAGGACTACGATGGAATGCCTCGTTTCCAGTAAAAAGGGCCTCCGGTTCTGCATGTGCGGTGCATTAGACTGGCTTTTCAATATGGGCTATAATATATATTATATCCCGAAATATAAATTATATCACGCGATTGGCTTTCACATTGTGAGATATCTCTTTTAACTAGTGTGCGTTCGTCATTGGTCATTGGATTACCCCCCTTTACCCCGTACACCGTTCTGCGGGGGCGCGGATCGGTGTGCGGGGTACCGGGGGGCGAAATATAATATGAAAATATCGCACGGTCGATCGAAAAAATATTTATAGCTTGAGATGTAATATATATTATAGCTCAGTGTACACGGTTCCATATGAAATGTATGGTGAGCGATATTAATTTATATCTCGAGATGTAATATATATTATATTATATCCCATAGTGAAAAGCGGGCTTTAGTCCTCGGGGGTGGCACATGCATTTTGAGTCTTAATCGTGGCTAAATCGTAGGTCTTCGGGATTCACTTGTCATCAGGCAGCCCGTGCTCGTTGGTGCTTACTTGTACAAAGAGAGAGAGAGAGAGAGAAAGAGAAAGAGAGAGAGAGAGAGAGAGAGGAAGAGAGAGAGTGAGGTCGCTCACCGAGCACTGGCGGCACGGGTGGCACGGGCGGCGGGGTGGAGGGCAGGGGCCCGGGCGCGTGCGAGTACACGCAGCCGCGGCGCGTGCAGCTGGCCGCGAACTTGCAGCGCGGGTGCGCGAACGCGCACGCCGACCCGAACCGGCACAGCGGAAACGAACGGCACCACACCAGCTTGCGCTCCGCTTGGCTCACTGCACTCACATATTACCTTTTATTTTATTTAATAAGGTACAATTACCGTGGTAGTAGCGGTGAAGAGAATATCCACTACCCCATATCATCCTATGGCTGTCATAAGAGGGAAAGAAACTAATCAGGAGATGGGCAGCAGCATCTTCCCAATAATGACTAAGAAATAATAATCTGCGACTGCCAACCCACGCTCTACCACAGTACGGTACACACAGCCATACCGTGGTAGAGCCACACTGCAAGTATATTAAGGATACACAAATGGGTCCACTGTAAGAGGTTAAAACCACGCTCTCACAGAATACCAGCGTAAAATATCAGCATGATGCTGCGGTGTTTCATATGGTGAGTGTAGAGAACCAGAGTTTTTACTAGAAACGAGGCTTTACATCATAGTCCTCAGGGGTAACAGCACATCTACATTTTAATTTAAGGATACATGTAATTTGAGGATTTAATTTGAGGATAAATGTAGATGTCTATGGGCCACAGCATTTACTTAAACCAACAGGTGGACAGTGTGCTCGATTGTCATCCTCATTCCATAAAAAGTGAAAGATTTTTACTAATCCTAGTTATATCCTTGTTGCATAAAGTAATATTATTTGCTTTCCTTTTCACTTACTAAATATTTAATTAAATAATGTTATAATAATAATAATTTATTATTTCAAGCAAAGAATATAACTTAATTTCTATGATATAAACACTGAGATACAGATTAACAAAAAATAAATACAATTCAGTGAACATCTGTGTCTGAAATAGATAACTTAATATCTGTGTTTCAGACAGCAGTGCTCTTCCTTTTAAGTTTAAACATTTCACTGTATACAAAACAGATCACTTACCAATAAGTAATTTATGTAATAGCATCAATATTAAACTAAACTTTTAAAATCAATGATAATATAATTAAAGTTTGTATAAACAGCCAGCGATAAATGATGAAAAAATAAATAAATAAACAGACAAGGGAATGTATAATTAAAATAACTTCCCTGTCCGCGAAAAAGACACAATGTCAAAAATGTTATTATATGACAACATAACAGAGAAATGGTTAAAAATATTAGGACGACTCGTATTTTATCAATAGTCAATTAATAAGTCTTAGCATTCAAAAATGTATCAAGCATTATGCTATCTATATTAGACGACGCTTGTTTATTTACGTACCTACAAATAAATACATAAACATTTTTGTGTAATATGAAATTGCTATAGACCTGAGAATAAATCTATGCACTGTTCACACTATAAATACTTTTTATCTGTGCTAAGTATAATCGAAGTCCAACACAATTAATTTCAGAGAAGAGCTCTGTAACTAATTGTGTTCAATATAGCAATTAAAAACCAAAATAGATATAAAACAACTTACAAGGGGGTAGAGAATCATATTTGTGAGAATCTGTAGTGGTGGTAACAACAACATGGCCGTCACTACTTGCACTTTGTGTCCTCTCTCGGACTCTTTCTACTTCTTTCTCTTGCTTATCTACACTGAATACAATAGGAGATGCTTTTCTTTTCTTAACAGGAGGTGATTCTAGTTGTGACACAGAGTCGTTCTCAGTGGTTACTTCAATACTTTTTCTTTTTTCTCCACTCTGTTCCGGTTCTTCTTGTTTAATTATAACCTGTGTATCACTTTCTTCACTTGTATCACTTAACCGTTTTTTTTCAATATCACTTGGCACTTTTACACTTGGTGATTCTACTTCTTCTGTAGGCTTTTCAGCTTTTTCCTTCTCTTTGTTCTCTTTGTTTTCCTCATCTTTGTCCGTTGTTTTCAGTACACTTTTGTCTGATATATTTTTATCTTTATCCACATCACCATCCATATCTTTTGTTTTCAATACACTTTTTGCTGGTTTTATAAGTTTCTCTTTATCAATGTCATCATCATCAAGAAGTCCTTCCATCATTAGTTTCTTTGCTAGGAAAGCATTTGGAAGGTAACCATCCATTGTGACAATGAATTTTGTATCTCTGTCCTTGTCTACAGTTGGGTTGTGGATATTACTGAAATAAAAATTCCAAGATTAGATTCAAAATGCTACAACTTTAAAAGCAGGCTAGTTATCTGACCATAAATAGAAACAGTCATTTTTAATTCATTATAGATAGCAAGAACATGAATTGGAAGTGTGAAATTGAATATTAATTCACATTAGAATATCCACAATAGAACCAGAGTAACCAACTTAGCTCAACGGTTAAGTAAGCTGAAGTGGCAATGGACCAGCCACGTAGCTTGAAGAACTGACAACCAATTAGGAAGAAAGGTTCATGAGTGGCAGTCTCGTACCGGTAAGCTAAGTGTAGGGCAGCCTCCACTACATGGAGTGACAAATTGGTACATGCAAGAAGTTGATGGATGCAATCATGATAATGATGATGAAGATAATTAATTGCAAGTCGTTTACATTTTTATACATGCTGAAATGAGTGAGTAGTTACCTCAGTGTTTGCACATACACATCATATAGTGTTAAATGGCTCTCGAGCAATTCGAAATATTATTTAAAAAATATTACTTACATTGTTTCTATTATCAGGGAATCATCTCGCCTACTTGTTGTCCTGTGTTGCATATAATCTGTATTATTGATCACTTTCGTTATCTGCATGGGTGCGAATTCTTTTTTACTTGTGACATTGTTTTCGTGCCTGAAACGTGAAATAATTTATTAACTATAATTAATATAAATATTTTTGTTATACATATATTTACAAAGCATTATAAAAGAAACAGTAAACTATGTCATCAAAATCAAAAATTTATCTAGGTATTGGAATCATTAAAGATCATACAATGTATCCGTATTTCTTATATTTGTACATGCCAGAAATTATCACAGTGACTGAAAAATAAAAGGTGGAATTTATTAGAGCTAAAATTTATCACTCTTAATTTTCTGGTTACATTTATTTTATAGGACCATAAAAAAGAACTGAGCATAATTATTTTAATTTCACCTACTACTACAACTACAACTACTTTCACACATGGCATTTTAGATTATTTATAGTTCACATTATATGAAATTTCCAGTTTTTTTTAAATAATCTCAATAACATGTATTGCTAGTTATGTAAGTCGCTTGCAAAACACACATTTAAGTATACTTTGTCAGTAATTGAATAAACTGTCAATTAGATTTTATGATTATTAATAGGCAGTTTATATAAGGTGGGGAAAAAGTTTCTTCGTATTTTATATACCAATTCAGGACATTTTTTTTTTCAAAGTTTAATTACTTTTAAATATAATATATACCTATGTGTCATTTTGTTCGGCAACTTGTTGCCATCTTGTATGTTCTTTTTTTTTTTTTCAAAAAATGCGACAAGTAGATTAATAGTCCTCTCTTGATGTTAACATAACAGTACCCAAAGAATTCTAAAGAGACCGAAACAGGTGAAAATCTGAGGTTGCAAGGTCAGGACTATATGATGAATGCATTAATTAACAGTTCCCAATCAAGCTGTCTCAATTTTTGCTGAGTGACCAAATATGTGAGTTGTCATGATGAAAGGCCACTTCTTTTCTGTTGATCCATTCCAGCCGGTTTTTCTCAATTTCTTGCTTGAGTCTCATTCGTTGTTGAGAGTAGAGATCCGAATCGAAGGTTTTGCCTGGCGGTAAAAGCTTAATAAACGATGCCCTTCCAATTCCACCATACACATAGCATCACCTTATTGCGTGTTAATCCGGGTTTCGCTAGTCTGCGGAGCTCGACTACTCTTTGAATTTGTTTCAATAACGAATCGCAAATGAGTGTACTACATTAGGTTTCTTTCAATGAGCTTGTGTGGTACCCAAATATCGAGCTTCTTTATTTAGCCAGACTTTTTCAAATGGGTCAAACTGTTTTGTGGTCAATCCTCAGTTCCCTCGGCTAAGTTGTAACTACTAATAAGACGATTTTGCTCCACTTTTTCAAAAATGGTATCGACTTCATCCGTATGAAGGCGACCAAAACGAGCTGCATTTTTGACATCAAAATTCCCAGACTGAAAATGCATGAACCAACTTTGTGCTACTCTTACTGACACTGCATTAGGTTCATAAATGTCACAAAGGAGATTTATGACATTGGGTGCTTGACATCGTTCGTAACAGTTATACAAAAATATTTAGGTAATATAAAGATAAATTAAAAGGATAATTAAATGGTTTTTATATCTGTAATAATGTATTGGACAATAATAAATACATTTTTTTAAACTGAAAAACGAAAGCTAATGCTTTTACCATAGCAAAAACAAAACGTTTTTAAATATTTTTATTTATTTTGTCTATGGCATTAGATAATGAAGGCTATTTTTTTGTAATAGCCTTCAGTATAAAAAAAAACTGTAGAGATTAATACTGAATAAAAGAAATCTACTTTAAAAAATCGATTGAATAGGCTACGTTAATCTAAACAAAATATTAGAATAATATCGGACACGATGTATGGTGGCTGTATGGTCGTTGATCATTGCCTGTTTCGAAGGAGACTTAACTTGGTAATAAACTTTAAACTTATCGCATTTGGCATTATGGTTGTGTTTGTGGATATATTTCGTGTTTTTATTTTAGTGAAAGTTTAACTTGACCCTTGGCTTTTCTCTCGATTTACAGGACAGTAGGTTGTTGTGCCCACATAATGACAATAATGTGCTACTTGGGTTTTGAGAGGAATAGAACAGACAATGTACAGGCTCAGGCTGCTTTTCTAGATGACATTTTAATAATAATAATTGCAGAAAATAATTAAACAATTAAAAAAGTTTGAGTTGTATTTTATCTTATTTTATTTAATAATAACTAAAAAACTGCATCCTTTTGTGTTCTTTTCAATTTATAGAAACAACTTATCCCAAGAACGAGTGTTTATACTACATAACCTATAAATAATAAAACAAAACCCCAGGCCCTACAAAAATATGATTTTTTGTCATAAGTAGCAAATGTTTAAATTTTCAAAATAAGATATATTTGAACTTTGTTGACGCCGGGCCCAAGCTTGTATGGAACCAAGTTAATCTCCTTTCTTTCGCGGTTTCGCATTTTTTCCTTTTTTGGTTTAAGAAAGGGTCGATAGATTATCTGTTAGATTCACTCATTTTGGCGGACAGAAAAACAATTGAAAAATGGCGGGAAAGTGTTTTTTTTTTCTTTATGTCCTATATGTATTGATATTAAAACCAGCCAGATACGAACAGTCCAACCAAAGAGATTTTTCTTTAATTTTATACAAACAAAATACGAAGAAACTTTTTCTCCGACCTATTACTTTAAGGAAAGTTCAATTGCTAACTAAAATTAAAACATTGCCAAGGAAAGAATGACACAATAAAAAAAAGTTCAATTTTACAATTACATGGAGTTTTTGTCGTCTCCATCGGTGTCCATGTCACCGGTGCTCGTAATATCGCTACGTGTGTCCATCTGTGTGCTGTCGCCTGGCACCTGAATGACAATTTTCTGCGCATCTACGCACCGCCTCATTGGTAGCACAAGCGCTCGTTTTACTTTCTGTTGATCTGGCTCCACTTTTGGTGGGGCCTGTAAATAATAAAGTAAATGACAATGAAATTACACTTCAAAAAAGAAAAGTGCCTTAACATGTTATTTATTAAGTAATTTCATTCAATATCACTTTGCATTTCTTTGTTACCGACTTTTAAATATGAAACCGAAAAAATAATAATTTGACATTAATGTGACGCCACAACTTTTGACTGTTGCCAAGGCCATGAAAGCTATACGAGGGCGGCACTGAAAATTTCGGGAATCAAGGAAGTGACACATTACTATTTAAAAATGTATTTATTGCTTTTCGAAGTATTCTCCGCGAAATTTGACACATTTTTCCATACGATGGAACCAATAATTGAAGCAACCATTCCATTCGGAAGTGGGGTCTCCAAAATGGCCGTTTTGTAGGCGTCCACAGCTTCTTCAGGTGATGAAAATCTCTGTCTACGCAATTTATTCTTTATTTTAGGGAAAGTATAGAAATCATTAGGGCTTAGGTCGGGGCTGTACGGCGGGTGGTCTAATAATTCTATGTTTTCTTGCTCTAAAAACTCTTTTGTTCTGTGTGCGGTGTGAGAACTTGCATTGTCGTGATGGAGGATGATGCGGCAGTTGCAGTTCTCTTTACGGAGTTCAGAAACGACCTGTGGCAAACAAATGCTAGCATACCATTCTGCATTAACCGTTCTTTGTCCCTCAAGAGGAATAGTCGTAACATGGCCGGTTTTGGAGACAAACGTGGCCACCATTATTTTGCAACACTCCGTGAACGAACAATTTTTGTTGGCGTTAACTCATTTTCGAACACCCAAACTCGTGACTGGTTTTATGTTTCGGGTTCGTACGCGTATATCCAGGATTCGTCACCTGATACGATGTTGTATACAGCATTTGAGGATCCTGCGTGGAATCTTTCGAGAGTTCTGACGCACCAAGTAACGCGAGCCGCTTTTTGATCTTCACAGTGCGAATACGGTATCCATCGGGAAAACAACTTTTTTACACCTCATTGTTCATGCAAGATTATTTGTATTTGACTCATGCCAATGTTTAAAGTTTCCTGAATTTCGCGGTATGTCACATGTCGATCGTCCTCAATCAGCTTACGCACATCATCAACGTTTTCTTGGGTGACTGCAGTTTTTGGACGACCCTGACGGGGATCATCACTGAGCTTGACACGTCCACGTTGAATTTCAGCAAACCAGCGATAAATTGTGGTTTTGGATGGGGCTTCATCACCAAATGCAGAAATCATCCGGTTTTTGTGTTAAACCACTTCGAAAGTCATAATAAATCATCGCTCTTGAATTTTCTAGAGTCAATTCCATTTTCTCAACGACTAAACAAGTTTGACAAAACCTTGTGACAAGACCGAGAATCTTTTTTAAATAAATAAATGGTATTCGATTTTTAAAACCAAGGACTTTTCAATTAAAAAGATTTTAATATGACAGGAACAGTGGAAATATTCCATTCCCGATACTTTTAGTGCAGCCTATGTACAGGATTATTTTGCAATTGCCGGCAAAATTTGCAGAGAAGGTTCAGAATAAGTAATATAGGCAACAGGTGAAAAACAATTTATTAAAAAAAATCTCAAACATTCTGTCCTTTTTATCTTTTTAATTCAAAATGCGTGGTAATGCATTATTTTAACTGATTTTACTGCGCACGCACACATTCGTAAGGGTCGATTGGTAAACAAAAATGTTGTTGTCCATAAACCACATTCAATTTGGGATAATATCAAATAAAAGTAGAAGCCTTATTTACTTGTATTATCAAAAACAGCAATAACGGTCATAATTTAATAAATAAATTAATTATCATAATTTTTATATATTTGAAAAGTTTAAAATTTGTGTACTCTTTGAAAAATAACCCTGTATATAGGTTGTGCACAACCCAACCAGTTCTGTTATATTTTTTAAAGTTTCTGCAAGCTTAATCAAAAAGGAAGTAAGATAAAACTGTACCATGACATATTCACTATGTGGTATTACTCTTTTTCTGTCACCAAATAACAGTGCTTATACTGCTGTACTCCATTCTGAAGAGTATAGAGAGGCAGTATAATTATACGCTGTGAGGCATTCCATCTTAGTTTGTGTCAACACGTTCGTAGCCTTGTAAACTACAGTAACCACTTACCACCAGGTGGTACACCAGGCCTGTAAGTGTGTTTGTCACTTTAGTACAGTAAAATACATGTTACATTACAATTACATTCATATTTATCATAATAAGAGTGCTAAATAAATCTTTATTGGTCGTGTTTGTAAGGAAAAAATAGAGCATTTAATTTTATTACATTTTCAATATACTTTCTGCATAAAGTTAAGTAGTAGTTGGAAGTGTAATATTATTAAGACTGTTCAAAAACAGTCAATTGAACAGTTTTGCTAGTGAAATTAACATCGAATAATAACTTAAGTTGTGATTGTCTGGAAGAAATTGCTGTCAGCAATAAGACTGCCCATTGCATACTTCTTTTATATATATATAATTTCTGTAACTTATGTATGGTGTGCAATAAAGAATATTAAATAAATAAGTTTTTCTACAACTGCTTCCGTGTTAATTACCATCAGGTACAATTACATTAAGATCATACAAAAAGAACTCACATTAAGTAAACTTTTGTGGGCGTCAGCCACAGCTTTTAGAAGTAAATTCGAAGCAGGCGCAGAAACACGAGGCCGTGGTCTCACTCGGACCACGCTAGCACAAGTTGAACGGGTGGGACGATTTTCAAGCACCGAAACTCTATAAATACGGAAAATTAAACAAACCGATACAAAAATTATGCTATGTGGAAATTATTGACTCAAACTGAAACAAAAATCATTTACTTTGAACCTTATTAAAGAAGGAACATTCCATGTTTTCAGTACTGAATATAAAGGTAGTATTTTACATTTCTGTTTTTATAATTATTCTTTTTTTATTTAGTATTTTATAATTCAGGGGTGTACAACCCATACAAATTTTTAAGAAAAAAAACAAAGAAATTCTATATACTACATTGAGTTTGTGATATTACTTAGTCCACTTAAAAGTGGTTAATAAATTAAAATTTTAATTAAAAGTAAAAGCCAACTTTAAAAAAATTAAAAATAAAATAATTTACACATAGATACACACGCTTCTGAAGTTGGGGCTTAGTTCTACTATACAACATGTCTTAGCACAAACTACAGAAGATTAACTTATTACAAGTAAAAATTTGTGTTCACGTATTTGTTTCATTTGGCCGAAAGTTGCGCCGCGTATGTGATTAGACATAGATAAGACGAATAAGATAAATTAGCCAAATAACAGAAATAGCGAACACGGATTTTAGCCCGGTTACCAGTTTATGACAGACGCCAAAGATCGTTAATCTATGAATAAAATAAGTTTATATGTGTATATATAACTGCCCAGTTAGTTAGTAGTTAGAATATTAATTTAGATTAAGAAGTAAAAGTTTTGAATGTTTTAATATTATAGTATACAAAAGTATATAAAAAAATCTATGTGTGGTTGTTACAGAATTTTTGCTACCAAATGGTTTTTCTGTTTGTATATTTTATTTTTAATATGAATAACATTAAACAAATATTGGTCTATTCACTAGAACTGATTTAACTCTAAAATTATTGAACATGTCAAAAGAATACAAAGGTATAATAAACCTGGGCCCAATTTAGTTTCTTTTTCCAGTGTAATATTAAAAATATTTCAAAAGTAATTTGAAAAGTAATTGTATTAACGGGGACGAAGCTGCGAGCGTAACTAACCTTGTAATAAAAACATACCTTGAAGTTAATCTTTTAGACAGCTCTGATTTTTCTGTGTTAGTGTCTTCAGAAAAAGAGATTCTGTCGTGCCGCTCGGGTGTGCCGCCCAAGCGGCTTTTCACTGACTTAAGTTGGGCTTGAGCTTCTGGTTGTCTCTCTGGTGTGAATCTGAAACTCATTTACACAAGGTTACAATGTGTTCCACCTTCAAAAACGAAATAAATAGATAAGGAAGTACCAAGATTAACCACATTTTGTTTCTTACTACCTTAAATGAGTTTGTAATTAACAACAACCTTTCAGGACTCTCAGCAGGTTTTGTTGCCATATCTTTTTCTTTTTCTCTGATTTCAGGTACTTGCTTAGGTGGCTCTCGAACTCCAAGCCTCTCTCTTATAGGCCTTTTAGGTAGGTTGAGTTCAATGTGGGGAAGGGTTTCTGTGGTTTCTTTGGTGAGTTCTTTTGGGTTTTCTTTGGGGAGTTCTTCTGGTGTTTCTTTGGGAACTTCTGTAGTAGGTATTTGAGAAGTGCAGGTTTGGGAAATTAGAGGAGTAGTTACTACTGGCGCCGATTGGGATATTTCCTGTAAATTGTTTCTTATATAATATTTGTATTAATAAAAGTATATTGGAAGTAAGACGTAGTGGGGGTGTAATAGAATCCATCACCCCATCGTCCCCTTGGTGTCATAAGAGACGTCTTAAGCGAAGAAAACCTCATAGCCTCTGATGGATGGTGGTATACCATCTCGTATATTACAAATGATAAACATCCAGATCTGCAAACGGCATCAGGCACAAATCTTTCCTAAAAATCAATTAGTGATTGCGAGCATAGGCAATAGCTTGATATTACGACAAATATTACTCTGATGGGAGAGGCTATTGTACAACAGTGACTGTAATGGTCGGATTTTTTTTACAAAAATAAAGTGACAATAGATAGGCTAAGATCTGTGTTAAGTAAGTTTTACCAATTAAAAAATGTATTGAACAAAAACACATTAAAAATAGTATATTTTGCACTTGCTGACTCGCTAATGAGTTATGGACTCCTTGTATACAGGCGAACCTTTATTACATATCTAAGAGATATCATAGACATACAAATAAGACTGATGAAGTTTTTAGTTAGTAAAAATGTTAAAGATAATTGCAACAAAGACTATGATAAGTTGTTTTCCATTTGTAAAATAATACCCATAGATAAAATGTGGAATATTATTATAATGAGAAATATAAAGTGAATGTTAAAAACAAGTACAACACACATAGGGTAAGAGAACATCTAAGTATTTGGTAGCTAAAGTGTTTAACAAAATAGATTTACTAAGAGAAAAAGTAAAAATTAGTAAAGGATCACTTAAGAAAAAATTGAAAAACATTATACAGGATTGTTAATAGAACTCTATATACGTGTACATTGTATTAGATTAAAACATTACAATATAATATATAAGTACTAGATATTTAATTAATATAATTAAAGTGAGATGTATATAAAGATATATAGTTAACATAACATTAAGATGTCATAGGTTTATATATTACTATATTATATAATTGTGTATCATTGTGTCATAGTAGTACATAAGGTGGTTCATTGTTTTGTAAAAGAGCGCCTCTCGCCATCAAACGTAAAAGTTTGGCGAGTTTAGAATTAAGTAACACCACTGTTTCATAAATACATTAATAAATAAAATAAAAAAAAAGCACAGTACTTAAATAGTTGTATTGTCACCCTTGAGCACTAAGATTGAATGCCGCCTAGTCTGTATTTAGACATTTTAAAATGCAGTGCAGGACAGCAATGGGATGGTACCTATCGAGATGGAATTCTAGGCTGAAATTGAGACCTACCTAGTAAATATAAAAAAAAATTATGATAAAAAGAATAGATATTTAAAGATAAAACATTGCACACCTGAAGAACATCTTCTGCAAAATCATTCATAAGCTCCTCTGCCTCTGTTCTTATATTTAAAAAGTCCTCATCATCAGACATTGAGTCTAACTGATCTGCCAGTTTCTGTTTCAAACCTGAAATCTTTGCTTCTATTTCATTTATTTCTTTAATTTGTTCTTCTCGTGGACCTCCAACAGAGGATACACTTACTGTTTGTTCCGTTTCTAGTTCAGGTTGAGATAATATTGTAGCTGGATCTATTATGGGGAGAATAGGTCGTTTGATTTCTTTTATCGAGGACTTCTGATCCACATGTATCTGTTCTTGTTTACTATCATCTATAGTAATACCGTGATTTTTTAAAATTTGTCCAGCAAAAACATCAGTTATTGATGGTTCAGACTCCTTTTCGATATTCATGAGCAACGGAGGTACATTCGGCCGAATCATTTCGTGATGTTTACTCTTTTTCTTACTCTTATGCATTTTCTTGTCTTCCTTTTTTCGGTGTGTCTTTTCTTTCTCTTTCTTTTTTGATTTTTTAGCACCATCACTCTTTTTCACTTTTTCCTTTTGCTTCTTATCTTTAGCTTTCCGCTCTTTGGACCGAGATCTCTCTTTGCTCTTTTCACCCTCTATTGTAACTGAAAGATGATATTTTTATAAATAGTGACAAATAAGTAAACAGCTGACCTGGTGATAAATGACACGGAACCAACTTCAAACAAAGGCCACAGAAATGTACCGCCCTCTCTAAACATAGCAGCCGTGCAACCAGCACTCACTTTGTTATTGTAAAATAGTGCCAACTTTTTGTAGCATAAACCATACATGCATGGTATCATCATTATCATGTCAGACTATTTGTCCCATGTAATCATACTCCTCAACAATTTAGAGCTTAGTGCTCCCAACAACTACCGGCATAGGTGTGACATGGACGTTATACATCGCTACCCCCCCCCCCCCCCCCGGTGTAATGGCGGGTAAGAATACCCATTACCCCATATCTTCCCATGGGTGTCGTAAAAGGCGACAGAGGGAAACTGAGGCAGAAGATGGGCAGCAGCATCTTTCTGATAACATGCATGGTATATGCAAAAAGAATAATATGCTAAAAATGTAACAATTTAATTAATTGAATGTTTTTTCAAATTGTTCTTTACAAATAAGACTTTTTCCACATCAAATTTGCTGCACATACATAACTTCTTTCTTAAACAATCAAAAAGTATTTTATGAGAAATAAGAAGAAAATATATTTCGAAGATGTGAAGTTCGGCAACTTGGGGCAAGTTGGGGAAAATTGGGGCAACGCGGCACACATTTTCTTGCTCTAAAACTCTCTCAGGAATGAGAGGTGGCCTGTGCCCAGCATTGGGAGACTGTAACTTTAACTTTAAATGTAGTGAACACTATACAGTATAAAATACAAAAGATTTACCATATTGGCACTGAACAGTATTCTTTTTTTTTCTCTTATCATTCTTTTTTTTTAAATTATTATCCATTATTTTAAATTATTAGACAGAACCATCCCGGCTAATAGCTGTCTGTGCCTGTGCTAGTTTATTAGAGTCTTACAGATAACATCCAACTATCACAAAATTCAGGGGCTTGATGCTTTTTCTTTATCTTCTGCTGAGTGTAGAGAACCGGAGACACTTTTTACTGGTAATGAGGCATGCTATCTTAGTCCTCAGGGGTCACTAAACATCTACATTTTAACTTTTAATTTAGGATAGATGAAGGTGTCTAAGGGCTACAGCATGCGCTTACCATCAGTTCGACTGTAGGCTCATTTGTCACCCTCATTCTATAGGCTACGCAAGCCCTATAATAAATGATCACATCTCAAATGCGATAATAATACGACTGAAATAATCCCAGATCTGATAGCAAGTGATATTACATAACAAGGTTCTTTTAACAACCTTCTGTTTATTATCACAGTTGCAGATAGTCAGATGTACAAGGCTTGTATAAGGGAAGTAGAAACGGCGTCTCACATGCTGCTGATGTGTCCAGAGTTCACCACAGGGCTAATCAACAAATGTATGGACAGTTCTTAACAAATAACTTACTCAAAGGTGCAGTAACAGTGACCTCCTGTAGTTTTTTTAGCACCTGATGCAACCAATTTACAAACAGCTCTGTGTTGTCACCTAAAAAGAGTTGTAGGTCCTCTTCCATCTGGCTTCGTGTGCGCTTATTTGCAACCATCACCATTACATAATCTGGTAATTCATCATCTGGAAAAGGACTTTTTTTTTTAAATATTACAACAAAAGAAATTATACTTACAAAATAATGAACACAAGCCTAATTTTATATATTGCTTCAAATGCAATTTACCAATTATTTAAATTCATAATTTACAGTTATTTATGGCTGTGAAGTGACAGCATATCAGATTCGATGACCCCATATTAAACCATGAGCTCGTACAAAAGAGGGAAATGAAACAGGATAAGTGTAAAAACACGTTCTTGGTAACAATAAAAATAAAAGCCTATATTGAGACAAGTATTGGTAGATACATTTTTCTATGTTTACTTAAAAAACTAATTTTTGACTCGACATCCTTATCTGTGTGCCTCTTTCGACCTCTTCCAATTGTGATCATATTTCTATGTCACCAGCCTTGTCCATCTCTTGTCATTGATAGACTTTTGTGCAAGTGTCACCTGCAACAGCCTTTATTTCATTGACCCATCTTATGGATGGCCTGTCTTCGTTTTCTTCTCTTGTTTCTTGTGAACTAAAACATTATTGTTTTTGACCATTTTTCTTTGCCCCTGATTGTATTCCCTGTCCATTTCCATTTCAGTTTCTTATGGTTACAATAGTGTCCTTTGTTCTGGTGTGTTTCTAGTTGTAGTTCTTATTTTTTCTATCAGTCTTTTCCCCAACATACTCCTTTCTATAAGCATTTTGGCAGCCAAATGTTAATATAGGCAATATACAAGTATCATACAGTTTCCGCTTGATGGTCATAGTAATTTCTCTGTTTTTCATAATCTATTTCAGACTACAATATTGTTGAAATGCGTTCCCAATGAGTTTATCAATTTCCTTTGAAGTTGCATCTGTTGGTGAGATTACTTGACCTAGATATACATATTCATTTTCATAATCAATTGTTGTTGTTAACACATATAGGTTCTTTCCTCCCATTTGCCATTACGTTACTTTTTGACCTTTTTGATCCTACTTTATGACTTACTACATCTAGGTAATTTAACATTACCTACAGTGCTTCTGTCGATGGCGAGAGGATTATCAGATCGTCCGCGAATCTTAGATGGGACAGATTTTCACCATTGATTACTTATCAACTTTTCTCCCAATTCAAGTGATGGAAAACCTCCTCCAGGACAGCTGTAAAAAGTTTTGGTGACATGGGGTCACCTTGGCATACACATCTTATTTTCATTCCTTGCCTTCTCTTTCTAATTGGATTCTAGCTTTAATGTTTTTATATATTATGGTTTTTATTGTTCTTATGTATTTATTTTCGATACCTTGATGTTTAAGCACTTGCCAGATCTCTTCATGTTCAAGCAAGTCCAAGGCCTTACTGTAATCTACAAAACCGCAGTAGGTTATATTAAATATGAATAGTTGTTTCACCACGTGTATATGGTCTAATGTCGAGAAACCGCTTCTAAATCCCACTTGTTCTCTCAGTTGATTTTTATCTAGTGTCTTGGATATTCTATTAAGAATTAGCTTGGCGAAAACTTTGTAGATATATGACATTAGGCTAATAGGTTTATAGTTATTTAAATTATTTCTATCCCCTTTCTTGTGTAGCAGTATTATGGTTTATGTTGTCCACTGATCAGGTATTATCTTGCTCTGCAGTACTTCATTAAATAAATAAGTCAGAATTGGTAAAAGGTGATATTTGTTTTCGAAAATAAATAAATTACTGATTCCATTTCAACCGGAAGGTTTATCTTTCTTTTGAGTTTTTGTAGCTTCTTCTTATTATATCTAGTACTTCTCCCCACCTGCTAGGTCAGTTGTTTGACTGTTGTGTTTAAACATACATTGTACGCAAACAAAAAAAATTGGTAACAATATAAAATAATGAATAAACTGTGGTTGCCAACCAATTATTTGAAATGATGGAGGCCTATTTTCAGTGGTGGATTTTATTAAGTTGTGATAAATATATAGATGAATATATAGAGGTGAAACTCATCAAAAATATGGGATAAATTCCTTTTTGTGTTGTGGATAAAAAAGCAATAAACAAATATAGTGGAAACCTACTAAATTATGATAAAAATAAATAAAATATTTTTGTTAGTACATACTCTAATATTTCTTATTTTATTCCTTGTTCTTATCTCAAGGATAATTTAAAATTAAAATTTTTAAATTATCCTATAATTTTTTATTATATTAGATATTCTTACTTATTACTACATGGTTATGGCTCTCTCTGGCTATTTCACAATGCGTGATACGAGGGGCGATCAATGTAGACATGGGACGAGTAATCGGGTTGGATTCGGTACTCGGCGGATTCGGCCTTTTTTTAGGGTTCGGCAGAGTACCGACTATTAACGGCCGAGTACCGAGTACTCGGCCTTAATTATATTCCAGAGAAAAATAAAGACAAAAAGCCAGTTTTTATCATTATTATTATATTAGACACATTAAAACATCAGGAACATGAGAAGCAGCAGAAATATTTAGAACGTACATATGAATCTATAATAGAAATTATTATTACTAATATTTAAAATTTAAAAGAGGAAGATCAATAATTTTTCTAGATGTTTTCCGATAAAACGATTTCTATAAGCAGTCATTTTCGCGCCAGATAACGAAAACTATCTCTCGAACATGTACTCATGTTGTCTCATTTGACAAGTAATCAGTAATTACTCATCAACAGTATCCGTGGGTACGTGACTGATCGAGTACCGATACAAGTACTTTTCTTTCGATACTACTTGGTACTAAGTTTTAAAGTATCGATATCCAAAGTACTTGGTATAGAAAGAAAAGTATCAAGTAATTACTTGTATTTACTCATATCGTTCCATCTCTAACTCTGTGTAAGGGAAATAACCACACGCCGTTCGCTACCGCGTTTTTTTAAAGCCGAGTATTCGGCCGGCGGATCACTACTCGTTCCATGTCTAGTTCAATGTATTCTCGGTATTAGGGTGATTTGCTAATAATGTGGGTAATCATTGCCTAACAATACTACCTGAGGCTATGAATATGAATTTTTGTCTTGATAATTTCATTACTTCTTATGTAACCTTCAGTCATATTTTTTCACCGATTGAATCGACAACGTTGAAAAAAAAATTGAAACATCGTGTGATTAAATTAGACGGCTCCGTGGCGCAGTGGCTTAGCAATGAGTTTTGCGCTGGGGACCGCGGGTTCGAATCCCGCACGGAACAAGTATTTGTATGGCCTACAAATAATTATTCCTGGTCTGGATGTTTGTCCTTGTGCAATTTATGTTTGTAAACTGCCTCCACGATACAGGAGAAAATCCTAGTGTGGAGGTAATGTTTTTAAAAAAAAATTCCTCACTTAACAAGGAAAAACTTAAAAAACCTCCATGAGGAAATGGTGGCTATTTACCAAGACTCTGCTTCTTCAATGTCAACCATACAGAAGTAGTCAAGTGAATCCAAAAGGGGTAGCCCCCCCCCATCCCCCAGGTGGGCCAATCACAGCAGCTACAGAAGAAAATGTGAAAATTATTGCAAAACTTGTATTAGAAGATGTACAAGTAAAAATTAAGATGTTAGCAGAAATAACTAACCTATGCGTTGGTACCATACTCGCCATAGCCAACTACGGATTTTTCTGTAGATCTACGCAATTTTTTCATCATCTATCACTCTACGGAATTGCGAAATTTAGTTGAAATCTACGGAATTTGATTTCTATGTTAGTTAATTTTTTTTGTACTTCACAGTCCTTTCAGAATAATAAGATTTAAAAAAACTTAACACATAAAAACATTTCTTATCATGAGTGTGAACTTGCCAACAACCGACAATCGAAAATTTTAACAATTGAAGTAATTTTTTTTTAGCATAACTATCCACAAATATTATATTAAGTGTACAAGGTATTTAAGTGTTAATTATTTTATTTGATTTTTACTAAAAATAATTTAATTAAAAGTAAACAATTCATTATTAATCCATTTTTCATGGTACTTTTTTCTTATATGTGCAGCTTAATTCAATGTTATACATATACAATTTAACTTATAACAAGAATTTTACAAGACAAGAAGAATTTCTCCAATAATTTAAAATTAAAAATTTTGTACTGCTGACTTCAATATAAGTTATTAAGAATAACTCAAAAACTATTGGTCTGACCTTGATCAAATTCATATGGGACTACATGAGAAGTACCAGCTTTCAAATAAAAAAAGAATCATCGAAATTTGTTCACCCAGTAAAAAGTTATGAGGTAACACACATAAAAAAGACATACAGTCGAATTGAGTACTGTCTCCTTTTTGGAAGTCAGCAGAAAAATTGATGTATTCTGTGACAGAACAAAAATTTTTAATCCTCTTAAGAAGTCTGCAGATCTATGGATATTTTGAAATAGCATCTATGGAATTTATTTCACCAATCTACGGATTTGGAAAAATTCAAGTAGGTAATACTGGCATATGTGGAATGTTGTAGGGAGTTTTAGAGCTCTGTGGTGACGACCCAACAAGCATTTTCAATCGGATAGTTACAGGAGATGAAACATGGGTTCACCACTATGACCCTGAGAGTTAACAGGAGTCTATACTATGGCTTAAAAAGGGATCAGACCCCCCCAAGAAGTTCAAAGTCACTCCATCGGCATCGGTGTTTGGAGATTCCAAAGGAATATTATTGATCGAGAACACGAAAAAAGGTGAAACCATCAACTCTGACAAATACTGAGGCACTTTGTTTGAGAGAAGCAATAAAAGAAAAGAGAAGAGGAAAGCTGACCAAGGGAGTGCTGCTTCATCATGACAATGCACTGGTTCACATGGCTTGCAGGTTTGAGGAAATTAACCACCCACCATACAACTCACATCTAGCCTCTACTGACTATTTTTTATTCCCAAACTTAAAAAAAGATGTTCGCAGAAAGCGATTTGCTGATAAAAATGAGCTCAAATCCGTTGTAAATGAGCATTTTTCAGGCCAAGACGAAAAATATATTTTCAAGGGAATAAAAAGCAATAAAGTATTGATGTCATGAGAGGCTATATTGAAAAAACTTTCCAACATATTATATATATATATATATATATAGAGAGAGAGAGAGAGAGAGAAAGAGAATACATGGAACACCCCTCGTATGTACATTCCTCTAGTTGATGTTGATGTGTATGGCCGAGCAAAGCATCTCTGCATGCATTTACTTGGTTTTGCCAAATGGTCGACTTGGTTTGGTGGAGGGAACCCTTCACTTCTCTTATTTGGTTTATGTGTAACCAGCATTAAATGGTGCTGGATTTCTTTAGATAACTGCACTGATCTTGTTCTTAGTGATACTCATATTTAAATTTTCATACAATAATAAATTGTATGTTGTCAAATTACTTTCCAACATTACATATAACCTACCGAATATTATATTTATACTTACCAACATAACATCCCAACTCTGTAAGTTTGGCCTTGATTGCAGACTGAAAAAAATTAAAATCGATACTATAGTCAAGAAGACCAAATTACAAACAACACTACGGGCATAATAAATTATTTATTATGTGTGTAGTGGTAATTATAAAAGGTCATATATTAAGTTGATTAAAATGGTGATATCCTTATATTTACCCGCATTTTCTGGCCTATTTCGCTGCCGACTACATCCATTTTTCAATTTTATTGTCTAACAGCTACGTCACACAAAAAATATTAATTTCTCACTAATCACACCCGGCAGGCGTAATAAACTTCTTATAACTAAGCATTTGTAGAAGATTAATGAAAACTCATTCTTAATGAATGTCGCCAATTAGTATGTAATTCCTCAAAAATTACAAAATAAATTTTAAACAATTTTTAAACCTTTTCAAGTTCCAGTCACAGCTCAAGATTTGTACATACAACATACAACTTTATAATTTGTGGTTCAGATTCGTAGATAAAGGATTGTATGTCTATGTTCAGATTAATGTATAATTATATTATACTCTGTGGTTCAGATTAAAAAATCTGTAGCATTTTTTAATAACTGGATTTACGGCTTTGGGTTCCAGCTTTTCTGATCATGAAGTTACTATGTAGGGAAGTACCAACACTCCTCTTCCTCTGCGACTCCACCTCGGCTGCAGCAGTAGGGGGAGAGGACACCCCTCTCACCACAGCCCACCGACAGACATCCGAAGTGAGTTCGCCAAGCCCACTCGGAGTGGCCACCTCGGGCCGGCCCTATACCACGGGCCTCTTTGTTCATCGCGTGTGACCAAGCCACGGCTATTAAGCCCCCCCGCCACGACAAGGCGGGACGGGGCCCGTTCGGGGGGGTCGAAACCCTCCCTACCCCAGCCTACGAATTTAGAGTATATACATAAAAAATATATTGACAGACGTATTTGAAATAGCAAATCTCAAAAATAATTATTATTTAAATTGCATCCATGTAGTTTAGAAATAAAAAATACTTAATTATTGCTCACCTTATAACGTCGATATTACTTCAAGTAATTAGAATTGGGTAATTTTTGCTATATGAAAAACTGCACCTTGCTTGAATTTAACTGCACCATCGTTAAAAATGCATTTTTTTACCTGTTTTTTATTTATAAACTATAGTGCCACCAACTTATCTGTTAAGGTGAATTAAATGAGGGCTAATAATTTTTTGCTCACCAGATGTCGCTAGTTGATACCGAGGTAAGTTTTTTGTTACACAATGTCATTTAATTGAGAAGTTAGTTTTAGATAAAACTTTATCAGTTTCTAGAATATTAAATTAATACACAAAACAATGCCTCAGTGGTTTGCTCTTTACTATTTTTTAAATTGTTCTACTTTTATGAATATCTGTGGTTTGGTTTATTTATTTTTAATCTAATTAATATAAAAGATAATTAATTGTACAGAAATAACCTTACTCTTTTAATTTTTCGAACAAATTAACTTCCCCTCTATGAAATCTGTCAAATATTATATACCTCATTCTTAAGAGATCAGATCAGTCGACTCAAACCTATTAGGTTGGGTCAACTCGAGTTGGCTCGAGTTGCCCTTAACTGGAGTTGGATCTCCCTAAGTCTAGCTTTTTCTGGCCTGGTTGTACTTGAACAAATCAAGGATACCAGCGAGAAAGTTAAGGTGCCAATTAACGATACGTCCATCAATCCAAAAGGAGAGGACGTCTTCCAAAATCGTTTCGTGAATGTTAAAAATGGTTGCCATTTGAATTTACGTCACCCAGATTTGGATTTCCAAACGGATTGAAATCCATGCGTCCAGTCCAAATGGACGTCATCCGCGGCCGTCAATGTCAAAAACGTGCGCCACGCCATTTGGAAGCCGTCCGTATTGTCTGTGATGGGCAAAACCACGTCCATTTTTTGTGATTTTGCTCCTCACACATCCGGACGATAATGGAAGGTGAAACACCTACCATTATAGCAGGGGACTAAAACGCTAACCACCCGGCGCGGGGATCTAGACTGATCAACCCGCCGGGTCGCGAACTTTATGATAACGCAGAAATTAACAACTATGACGTATTAGGTCCCGAAGAACCGACGTATGTTCCAGCTGATCCCCGGATATGTCCGGATGTGCTGGACATCGTGCTCACTAGGAACATCATCTGCCCGATAGTGGTAGAGGTGCTGTAAGACTTGAGCACACAGCACCTCCCGATATTAATCACCTTAGGCCTCAGAGCGGTGACTTCGCCTCCCAGAGCTTTCAAAACTAAGATTAACTGGAGGCTCTACCAACAACATCTACTGGAGAGGACTCCTGTAAACACCTTAATAAATACAGCGGACGACGTAGAGGCCCCTGCATCAAGAATTTCAACATCGATCAACGAAGCCCTCAATGCGCCCTTTACGATCGTCCCTCTCACTGAAAAGCCAGAAGAGCTTTTACAAAACATAAAAGTGTAAATCAAAAGAAAAAGAGCACATAGAAAGATCTGGGCGCGCACTCGCTGCCCCAGACTTAAAGCACTGCTTAACAGATTCACGGACGAGCTGTCGGTTACAATCCAGGAACACAAGGGAGAGGTCTGAGAGCGGCGCATCTGGAAAGCGGAAAAACAAGATGCGTCGCTCTACAAATTAAACCGACAGCTAACGAAAACCAGACCACCCGTTTGCCCGCTGACCAACAATGTGGGCAAACGATGCTATGAGGACAAAAGTAGAGCGAATATTCTAGCTGAGCACTTCGAGGAGCAGTTTATACTGAACCCAGCAAGTGCGGAGTTCATGGAGCTTCATTCCCAACAGGAGAGCCACGTACGGGAGTTCCTGCTTGCAGAAGAGTGGTTCATCTCCTCCGCTGAACTTCGGAGGACAGTAACCCGCCTGCATCCGAGGAAGGCGACGGAGCACGACCGGATCACGAACGCAGCACTTCGACAGCTGCCCAACAGGACAATTGTAGAGTTAGGAAAACTCTACAATGGTGTTCTGCAGACTTTCCGCTTCCCGGAGAACTGGAAAATTGGTAGAGTTATCGTTCTGCCTAAATCCGGGAAGGACAGGCGTAGAGCAGCTAGTTACAGAAGGATTACGCTGCTACCGATATGGCTAAACTATTTGAGAGACTTATATTAATAAGAATCCGCCTGTGTATACAACTTCGGGCGGAACAACATGGATTTCAGAGGGGCCACTCAACAGTTACACAGCTGACCAGAGTGCTGCACCACCTGGCGGCCGAACATAACCGAGATCGAACATCGTTGGGCATCTTCTTGAATATCTAGAAGGCATTCGACTGGATGTGGCACTCTAGATTACTCTACAAGCTAGCAGAACAATCGAGTGTCCCTCCTGCTATGCTGCGCCTAGTGGCATCATTTCTAGCTGACCGGAGGTTCTACGCCTTTTTCGAGGATGCCGAGTCCACAGAAAAACCAATAAGAGCTGGGGTACCACAGGGCAGCTGTTTTTCGCAGATCCTGTACGCAGCTTACACCAATGACATTACCAACGCTGGCAGAACACCTGCGCTAATAGGAGGAAGACGTAGAGCTGGCTCTATAAGAGCCCATCTCGCCGCCGCTAAGATGCAGCACCTGCTGGACCTGCTGCTACCGTGGCTGGATGAGTGGAGGATGGCAGTGAACGTAGGAAAAACGACTGCTCTCCTCACCCGCCGCTACGGAAACTTCCCACCACCGCTGACGCTAAGAGGCCAAAAGATCGCGTATCAGAAGGCTGTGACCTACCTTGGGTGCCGGATAGATGGGATGCTGCGCATAACCGCGCACGTCGACATCGTCGTCCGCAATGCCAGATGTGCACGGGCGATGCTCCGTCCCGTCCTGGCATCCAAGCTACCTATGAAGACCAAAATAAAAATATACAAAATGTACATAAGACCGAAACTAACATACGCCGCTCCGGCCTGGTACGCGCTCTTGAGCGCTAGACAGAGGCAGCGGCTGCAGGCCTAGCAAAACCTATCACTACGGACCATCGACGGTGCAGGTCGCTTCCTCCAGAATGACGTCATCGCGGCCAACCTTAAGATGGAGACTATCAAGGAGTTTGTGGTTCGATTGGGGCGCGGTATATTCAACCGCGCCGACAACGAGCCACACCCCTTACCTCAACAACTTGGTACCTTTACATGCCAGCCCCGTGACGGGCGACCTCTATCAAGAGAACTCCTCTCTATAGAGATTAGAGAGTCAAGTAACAACCCTCAATGTTGCAGATAAGACCAACTTAGATTTTATTGATATCAATATGCAGCGACCGGGGAATCGAACCCCCCGACCGCTGTTTTCACCTACAACGCCGTAACGGCTACCAGGACCGACCCATAGATGTGGGCTGTGAGGAAAATCCGGACAATGGGGAGGATGCCCGAGGCCTGAAACCTGCTGTGTGCTATTAAGCACATCAGTAGACGACAACGTAGTCGAAACCAGCTACCAGTTTTATAGTTTAAATCAAGTGAGAAGATCAGTAGGGAAAGTGATAGTAATAGTAGTGAAAGTTTCAACGTTTGACACTTATGGGGAAATTACGAATATATAATTGATGTTTCATTTCCTACTGCGCCTGCTAATTATACAGTCCACTGTATAGATGGCAAGACTGGGACCACTCCATAGGGACCCGTAATCTTAGTCGTCTAATCATTCTTTTAAGAAAGGGCGACAGACGTCCTCGTGTGGCACTCCTTCTCAGGGGTCACGCCCATCTCGTTGTTCCCGAACCTAACGTGGTGTGATATCAGTTTCTTGGGGTAGAAGGTCACCAACTGAGCCTTGTCTGTTGGACCCTTTCAGTTGAAGGATTGACGCCGAGCGACGGGCTGCGACCCTTTTACTAATAGACCCGTGGTAGCTCAGATCGTTAGCGCTCGCTGTAAGTTTTACAGTACGCAAGCAACTCGGGTTCGATCCCCGCCAGCACCAATGAAATTGTTAATTGCATTTTAATTGCGATTATTTTTATTGCGATTTACCACGTGTTTGGCTTGACATGTGAAGTTCGGCAACACGTATTGGGGCAGCGCGGCGGACATTTCCTTGTCCTAAAACCTTCTCAGAAATGACAGGAGGCCTATATCCAGCAGTGGAATGTATATAGGCTGTAGCTTTAACTAACTATAATACAAGCGAGTTCACAATTATGGTAGACATGTTTTCAAACGAATCAAAACAGGTGCCGGCACAAGCCGTTGGTAGCGATGCGACACTATCACTACGCCAGTATAAACTTTAGATAATTATCTGATTAAGGCTGATTTCAAGTTT